GCTCAGAGTTTCAATAAAGTGGTGGTCAAGAGGAAAATTCAAACAAATCTACTGGGTATAGCAATAGGAAGATCACTGATGCTCTAAGAAAAACTAGGATCTGTGGAATTCTGGGGCAAGAAGTCATATTTTGGTGGCTCTTTTGTGTCTACCTCAAATCACGTAATTCATAGTAAAGGTAATTCAACAGCTCAACACAACATTCATTTGAAACATGAAGCCTACTTTGCTTTATCTTCAGTGTACTGCTAAAAATGTCTTATCAGATGCTCTTTCATGATCTTTAGAGTAGTCACATAAACAGTTTCCTTGTTTGCGTGTTTCCTGAATTCAGTTTTCCCAGAAAGATTAGCACTCTTAAATTGTTTCACTTTCTCCCCTTGCATTCTAGAGTGTATGGAGCAAAAAATATCGATTAGGTGTTTTAAAACTCCCAAACTCCATTACCACTGGGAGTCCGTGTCTGAGTGTAAGAAAAATAATGGTGCTTCTGGAGAGGGTTTGTGTAACTATCCCATCAATCTCATTTTCGAGTGTCTGCATCTCTCTTTCTACAGCTCCTGTCCTGTTTGTCCCTCTAATGAAAGGTTTATTTGACCGTCTTCTCAGAGTCAAATCCATTGGCTTGTTTCTTGGATTACATCCATCATTTGCCTTCATAATGTATGAGGATGGGGGATTAACAGATTGACAGCTGTCATTTTTTGTGACAGTTTTTGGGAAACCCATAAACTGTTCTTTTTGGCAGCTTGAATTGGGGCTAGCCTAGCTCAGAGAACAGAGCAATTTCTGTCTTTGTAATTTCTTTCTGGATGATGCCTCATTCCTCTTTGACATGAGTCCATTCTCTTGGGCATGTGTGCTCACTATACTACTCATGTCCTCTCCTTGCCTTTTGTATAGTTAACATTAATTAACAAAATTTAATCCATTTTGTTTCTAAATGGACACATTTCACATTTCACATGGTAAGAATTTTAGGCTTTAATATTTGGCCAGCATGGAAGATGGTTTGGGGAATGATGAGGGAAGCCTTCTAATGTTTTTAAAGTCCTGCAGTTGGGCACGTGCCCTCAGAAGATCTGCCTGATACTACTTCATGGTTAAGTACCAATGATGACTTCGTGAATGATCTCTCCCATGCAAATAGACTTGGTTTTCAAAATAAATAGTATCCTTACCTCAATTGCAATTTGCTCACATCTTGACATCAGAATGAAACCATAACATCTCCCTCAATTGCCTTGGACAGCTGCAAAACCTTTCTGTTTGTTAAGATTTGATTTCCCAATTATGTTTATTGCAGGGTTGTTGATCAGACACAATATTATGGCTTATGTAAATGTCAGAATGATTCACAGTACTTGGTAGGTGGAATAAATAAAAAGCAATTACCTTCCTTAGAATTCCTGGAAAATGAACTGAAACTTAACACTTTTCTTGATATGCCCATGTCTTCTCAACTATGATAATCTAATGGTCGTATAGCAGGCATGGTTAATTCTGCTTAAGGTTCGGGGCAGTCATGTTTTCTAAACCCTTCCCTCTAGTTTTGAAGGTACAAGGGTATAAGCTTAGTCTAGGGTAGAAGCTACAATGATGGTCCTGAGATCCTCTGGATCTATTTAGCAGTCTAAACTACAGCATTCCTTTCCTAGTCTTCAAAAATGCCTTTTTCTAGATTTTTCTCTTCTGGAGCCTTAGAAGTTGAGAGGATAGGTGATAATGAGATGAAAGTTCAGTGAATCCAGCTCTTTATAATGTTTCATCTCAACCAATTGGCCTTAAATCAGTTTGGTACTAATTTTAAATGAATACATGCACCCCCATCTCACCAATGTTGAGATCAATTTAAAACATTCTCAGTCAATATTGAGAGTTTCAAGCATAAGTGGCAGAGAGTTGTGGATTGTGAATGTGATTGTAGGATGTCAGTGACTTCAAAGCCTTTGACACAGACTTTTTGCAATGCTGCTGTCCTCTATCAAAGCATGCCCAGAGCTCCTCCTTGGAAATGGGTTTTAAAATCCCCCAAGAAATCATGCATTATGGTTTTACTGTCATACCTTGTTTCAGACTCATTAAAGATACTACTCAGGTTGGGATTTTACTTATTCACTCGGCATGGTTCCAAGTGACATTTGGCTGGTTCCAAAAATAAACACATCATCAGAAGATTACGATTTTCCCTTAATGAGGATAATTGAAAGGATAGGTCACAGGCCATGAAGACAAGTCTCATGAAAGCATTGCAAAGCAATGGGTCTATTCAGAGGCAATTAGCATGTAGGTTCCAAAAGGAAATACTTTGAAAAATAACTTTCATACTTTGAACACTGATAGATTAACATTAAAACAATCCTCATAGTTCATACCTACACTCAGGATTGCATTGTGGCAGAATGGCTTTTTGCTGACATGCACTGATGGTCATGAGGTCTGACTAAGCGTGTGATGGTGTCTTTGCAGGCTCATAGACTTTGAAGGAATTGACTCAGGCTTTTCTGCATCAGATCAACTGAGGGTTACCTCTTTATCAAACTTATAGTGAGTGTGGTGTTGCAATATAAGCACTGGGCTTCTAATCGCAAGGTCGGATGTTCAAACTCACCAGCTGCTCCTTGGAAAATCTATACAGGATTGTTATGAGTCAGAACTGATTTAATGGCAAATAACAACAATAACAACAAGTGGGAATTATGTTTTGTCACTTACTAAATGTTCTTCTAGCATAGTGGATTCAAATCAGGCTTCTAACCTAAAAGGTTGGCAGTTCGAAACTACTAATTGTTCTATGGGAGAAAAATGAGGCTTTATGGTTCCATAAAGAATTACAGCTTCAGAAACCCTGTGTAGGGAGGGTCACTATGATTCACAACCGACTCCGTGGAACTTAACAACAACAACAATTGTTCTTTGATTAGAATAGAAATGACCGTGGTTCTTTGATACAGAGAACAGGGTTGTCATTTCTTGGCTCGTTCTAATTTAGGAGGGAGTATTTTCTAACAGCAATTGAGCTATACCGAATCCATTTCTGCATTATTGCTTCTTGGTAATGTGAGGATTGAAAGAGAGATACAGTGTAATGTAATGGAGAGACTATGGTCATTTGAATTAGAGAGACTTGGGTTTGAGTCCTGAGGACCAAGTAGGAGTTCTGTGCTCTTGGAAATTTCTCAGACGCTTGGTGTCCTCATCATTAAAGCCTTATCAGGTGTTGTGAAGACTGAGTAGATAATGGATATAGCTGCTTAGCACCTGGCCTGGTATGCAGTGGGTGTCGCTAAGCAGGAGTCATCTTTGTAACAGTCATACCGTGTGCAAGCATACAGTCCAAAAACCAAACCTACCGGCGTCAAGTGGATTCTAACTCATTATTGTTGATGTTAGGTGCCACAGAATTGGCTCCGACTCATAGTGCTTGTATGTACAACAGAAGGAAACACTGCCCAGTCCTGTGCCAACCGCACAGTTTTTGATACATTTGAGCTCATTGCTGCTGCCGCTGTGGCAATCCATATTATTAAGGGCCTCCCTCTTTTTCGCTGATCCTCAACTTTACCTAAAATGATGTCCTTCTCGGAGAATGGTCTCTTCTGATAATATGTCCTACGTATGAGAGATCAAGTCTCTCCATCCTGGCTTCTAAAAACTTTATGGACATACTTCTTCCAATACAGATTGGTTTGTTCTTTTGGAAGCCCATGGTACTTTTATTATTCTCTTTCAACTTGATAACTCAAATGAACCAATTTTTTCACAGTCTTCTTTATTCATTGTCCAACTTCCTCATGCATAAGAGGTTCTTTAAAATACCGCAACTGGGGTCAGGTACATCTTAGTCCTCGAACTGACATCCTTACTCTCCAGCACTTTAAAGAGGTCTTGCACAGTAGATTTACCTAATGCAAAATGTAATTTAATTTCTTGTGGCTTCTATGAGTGTTAATGATTGATCCAAATAAAGGAAGTTTTGACAACTTAAAATTTTTCTTCATTTTTTGTCATTTATTGATACAGTGATGAGGATTTTTCTTTTCTTTACATTGAAGTGCCACATTACTGAAGGCTGTGGTCTTTCATTTTCATCACTATTTTAAGTTCTCTCTGATTTCAGCAAGAAGTTTGTATCATTTGTATGTCACAGGCATTAATAAGTCATAGAGACCCTAGAAAGGCTTTCTAAAGCTGCAAATCTTTATAGAAGAAAGCCTCATCTTTCTCCCATGGAGTGACTGGTGGATTTGAACCACCAAACTGTTGGTTAGCAGTTCAGTACTTATCCTCCAGCACCAGCAGGGCTCCTACACACATAGTTGTTGTTGTTGTTATTAAGTGTCATTGAGTCAGTTTTGACTCATAGCACCCCTGTATAGGGTGTCTAAGGAACAACTGGTGGGTTTGAAACACTGACATTGTGGTTTCAAACCAACTTTGCAATTATTGCTTATCCCATAGCATTACACTTGGTTTGCTAAAGTTCTTAGTTTTCCTAATGTTCATTGAATAATAGCAGATAGGGAACTGTAGGAGGCTTCCCGCAGCCCCACAGGAGGAGGGTAGGGATGATTGATAAAGTAACAGAGGGACATTGGGTTGGATGATCTTCTAGTCCTTCCTCATCCCAGATTTCAGAAGTCTCTACCATGTGGTTCATGAGTGAGTTTCCTTGGACTGTTTTTCTCATGGAGTTCTTTCTAGATAAGACACATACTCAATACGTTTCTTTTCAGAGAAAGAGATTCAGAATATCCGTCAACTCTGAGAGATAGAGTTCAGATGTCACTCCTTAATACAACTCCCTTTGTTGCCATAGTAATGGGTTGGTCACTTTGATGCCAAACCATGAAGCTCTTACTTAACCAACCAGCATGATTGGTGAGATGTCCTGACTTTGCAAGAGGCTGGAGTAGAGCATTTATGATGTAAAGGACTCTTGTGAGGTGTCTAAACTACAGATGAAAAATCCCCAAAAAGGGTAAAAGGGGTAATACTGGATGTGGTTGCCACACGCACTGCTGACAGAATATAAAATCCTAGACAGGCCCAGGGCTTACACCAGAGTAAAGGAATTAGGCTGTGAAACTGACCTTCAGAGCTCCACTCCCTCTCAGCACCAGTTGTACACCTGCTTCCTGCCCAACATGAGCTGCCGCACCAGCTTCTCTGCCCGGCCCTGTGTGCCCCCCAGCTGCCATGGATGCACCCTGCCTGGGGCCCACAACATCCCTTCCTCTGGGGGCATGGGTGGCTCGCTGTGTGAGGGCTCCTTCAATGGCAATGAGAAGGAGACCATGCAGTTGCTGAATGACCGCCTGGCCAGCTACCTGGAGAAGGTGAGCCAGCTGGAGCAGGAGAATGCAGAGCTGGAGGGCCGCATCTGTGAGTTTACCCAGCAGCAGGTGCCCTATGCATCCCCGAACTACCAGTCCTACTTCCAGACCATCGAGCAGCTCCAGCAGAAGGTGAGGGTGTGGGCACCACCACATTGTCAGCTTAATGCACTTGGTTTCATTGATTCATTTTTATGACAGACCAACTTCTGAATGGGATCTAAGGCTGCTCACAGATAACTTGAGGATGTAATGATACAGAATGAATTGACTTTGGCAGGGGACTTCAAGTAGTCTTAGAAACTCTATTTGTCAATCATCAGCCTACAGACAGTGGATCATGGAAAGAATTGAGCCCAAATCAGTTGTACAAACTTTACTTGCTTCCAAAGGGCTTCTTTCTTAAAATCAGAATATATGATTTTTTTATTCTGTTATGATAACCTGTTCTTGTTTGCTGAGCATTATAGGAACAATAATAATAATGAAAAAGGACAGCTGAACTGTTTCTCTGACTTATGAGTTTCCTAACTAAATCCATAAATTCCTAAAGCCTTTAAAAATTGTAGCAAAAGACAG